GGCCTCGGCACTCGGGCTACTTGTTACCTACGTCAGAAAATAGGTTAGGGGCCAAACAAGGGGCTGTCTTCGCCGACATTGGTGCGCAAGGTTCCCGCGTAAGATCGCGAGTAAGCGCCCCTGTTTCCAATGTGGCGTGCCGCGCTGGCGGCCCGCGTAAGCCACCGCGTGAGGTCGCTATGCCATCTCGCGTAAGACCCGTCTCTCGTCGCCGCTCAGATACAGCCCACCTTAGCATCCGCTTATGACCGAGAGCAGTACTTATGTCCATATCCAGTACGCCTCGGAGTGTCGGGCTCCCTGCCCCAGAAACCCGATGCGCACTGCATATGGCTCCCCCTCCCAAGAAAGTCCAAGACGCACCAGGTATGGATATAAATATTGCCCGCGCTTGGCCTCCTGTCCACCGAGCCGAGCACTCCCGGCGGCGACCCACAGCTCTCCACTCGGAGGTCGCACAATGGGGGGGGGCGACAACTGGGGGGGGCCTGCAGAAGAGGGCCCCTAAGGGGGCCCTCCAGGGCGCCTAGAGGGGGCCTTCAGGGCCTGTCAAGGGCACCTTTCTTTCCCCCCCACTGTCACCGAGCGTGTGATCGACTCGCAAACCGCCTGCTCGCAGACGTCTGAAACGCACGCGTGTGCTGCGATGCAGCGCATCGTACCCCCCCCCCCCGCGGCGGATCCAGGCCATTTGCGAGCAGTCACCCTGCGAGTCGTGGAGCGCGCTTGTCTGGTGGAGAGGCGCTGGCGCGGTGGCCCGCTCTCCATGATCTTTCGGCCGCTTGTCTTGATCCTGTGCGTTCCGAGATTCCCCGGATGTCCAGGATGCTCCAGGATCTCCAGGATGCGTTCCGAGATGTCCAGGATGTCCAGGATGCTCCAGGATGCCCAGGATGCCCAGGGCCCGAAAAGGTCACCTTGCTTCCCCCTCCCTCCATTATCGCCCCCCCCCCCCCCACACTATATCTCAGGAGGGAAGGAAACACGCAGACGCAATGAAGCGTCGACTCCCAGGGAAATGTGGGAAGGGGGGGGGGGAAGACGATCACCCAGGAAAATATCGGATTTGTGTGCAGTTCTTTGTGTGCATTTCTTTGTGCGTCCCTGGGCCCCTTGACAGCCGGGCCGAGGCAGAAGTCGGGCCTACAGGGCTCGTCTTTTAAGTCGGGCCTGCCCCTCTACAGGGGGAATATTCGACTATAGTCACATAAATCGTCGGGGGACGATTCTTTTTTTAGCATGTTCGAAAGATCTGGGTGTATTTGTTGTGTGTCCCTGGGCCCCCTCCCTCCCTGTCGCCCCCCAGACAAATCGCCGCCCAAACCGTGCCGGCGCGCCCTGGCGAGAGCCCGCGTGCCCGAGGGGGGGCCGGAGCGGGACGCCGCTTCTGCCGGGGGGCCGCGCGCAGCTCTTCTGGCCGCCTCCTCCTCCTCCTCCTCCTCCCCCTCCTCCTCCTCGTCCCCCTCCTCCTCCTCCTCAAGCACATGCGGCCCAAGGCTCCGTACCCGTTTGGGCTCCAGCGAGTCATGGGTCGAGCCCTGCGCCTACACGTCGGCGCTTGAGGTGCATCGGGTCTGCCGCGACGCGCGCGGACGATCCCGGTGGCGAAGGCAGGGCGAAGGCAATCCGAGGCGGTCTACGGCGTGCTGCTGGGCGTCCAGGCTGCTGCCGCTGGCTGTTTTATTCAAGTCCTCCCCAAAACCGCATGGGGGAGGCTGGGCCTTGCTGCGCAGATGTGGGAGGAGAGAGCCTTTTTGGCCAGTCATGCCCCACAGAGCGCAGCGATGGACGGGTGGAGCTTATTCTTTGCAGTTTCAAGTTTTGTTGTTGCGATGGTAGGCCTGCTTATCCATTCAACCCTCGGGATGTTGTTTCTTGCAATTCTTACAGTCTTGTGTATTTGCGAGCAGGATGTGCAGTGGCAGCAAGTTCTGGCATTGCTCAACGGGTGGTTGCTGTTCCAGATGGAGCCCGTCATCTTCATCAGTATTGCCCTTTGTATCAGCAGGTACGCAAATGACGTGGGATGGTTTCCGAGAAAGTTGAGCAGTGGCAGCGGGCTCTGGCTTTGCTCCGATGTGCTTGATCGAAATGGTGACAATTTTGTTCAGTCTCGCATTGTGTCGCGACTTAGTTTTCTGTGCGGTTCCTGGAATTGTTCACACACCCTCTTGCTCGGGAGGTAGCAGCGTACTGGGCATGTTGAGTGGGCGTCTATTTCAGTTATCTTCACTTTTGTACAGTGTGCGGGCTGTTATTCAGTTTGCTGTCGTTGGGAACCCCATCAGTGATCATTTAATTGTGTTACGGGTGGCGCGCAATCGTGCTGAGGAGCATGATCTATATGGCTCGTGTGGCAGTGGGCGAGACAGTTCTGGAGGTAGCGAGCTCAGTACTATAAAACTTTGCTGTTGTCCACGTATAGGGCCGTATCGAGCTTAATCCTACCTGTTTAGCCGCTGTCAGTGTTTGGGTCGTATCTGAAGTATGGTGAAGGTATCGGTGTCCCTCCCTGCAGCTACTGGGTCTTCAGGTCCGTCTTCGCTTTCAACCTGTTCCTCGTCTTCCTTGAGGAGTTCAGGGGGTGGCATTGTGTAGTTGATATCACCTTGTGATTGTCCTGATGCTGATCCTGATCCCCCTCCTCCTCCTCCTCCTGCTCCTCCTCCTCCTCCTCCTCCTCCTCCTCCTCCTCCCCCTCCTCCTCCTCCTCAGCCATTTCGCTCGGGGCAGGGGGGCCCTGAGTTGCGGGGGGCCAACTTCGAAGTGGCACTGCCCCCTGCGGGCCGCCAGCGGAGGCCGCGATGTATTCTTCTCTCTTGCCCCCTCCGTTTTCTCTTGCCCCGCCGCCCGCCGTTCTTCATCGCGAAGGCTTCATCGGGCTCAGGGGCGACACCCTCCTGCTCCTCGACGGGAAGCCAGTAGAGGAGACGATCTGGGCCCCGACCAGCGAGGCCCCAAGCTGCTCCCACCCCCAGGAGGATCCTGCCTCAAAGGTGCAGAAAAGTAAAGAAGCAGTGGGCAAGCTCATGAACCACATGCAGGCGAAAGTCGCGCCCCAAGCCAGCATCTCCCAGCGACGGGACAGCAGCGGTAGGCGACGATGGAGCCCAAGGAAACCCAAGTCCGAGCCCGACGACGACGGCTACAATGCTGGCGACGGCGACGGACTTAGACGAAGGACGAGCCCGACGTCGTCAGCTGCGGCGCGACGACGACGACGAGCTACGAACGACTAAGGCGAAGGACGAGCCCGACGCCATCAGCTACACTCGACGAGACGAGTGCAGGTGGCGAAGACCTTGCCGTCCACCACCACCCGACGCCGTACCGCGAGCAGTGGGAGGCGAAGGTGGAGCCCGACGTGATCAGCTACAATGCTGGGATCGAGGAAAAAGCGCGAGAAGTGGTGCTCACGGCCATCCTTGCAGCTCATTGTGAGAAGCGAGAGGCGAAGTTGGAGCCCACTACCCCTTCCCGCGAGCCACGGTACGAGCAGCGTGCCAAAAGCGGGAGGACAACGCGGAGCCCAATGTTTGCACCAGCGCCGAACCGCAAGACGAGGGAGGCGAAGGTAGAGCCCGACGTGTCCAGCCACAGCGTTGGGATCAGGGCATTGCGCGAAAGGCGAGCAGTGGCAAGAGGCATTGGGACAAGTGGGGGGCAAAGTTGGAGCCCGACGCTACCCTTACTCCTGCTTCTTCTCCTAGCCATCTATTCCGATCAGTGGGAGGCGAAGGTAGAGCCCTACGTGAGCAGCTACAGTGCTGGGATCGCGGGCGCGGCGCGAGAAGTGGAGCCCATGGTCCTTGACACCGCAGCTCACTGTGAGAGGCGAGAGGCGAAGCTAGAGCCACGGTGCGAGCAGCGTGCAGAACTCGGGAGGCCAAGATGGAGCCTACAGCCTACACCGTCGCCCCACCGCGAGAAGAGGGAGGCGAAGGTAGAGCCCGACGTGTTCAGCTACAGCGTTGGGATCAGGGCATTACGGTGTGAGAAGGGGAAGGCAACGCTGGAGCTACACGTCAGCACCCTAGCTAGCACAGCGCGCTGGGAGAAGCTGAAGGCGAAGTTGGAGCCCGACTCTAGGGAGCGAAATGGCGAGTGCGACGCGACGGACCCTATCCCTACTCTAGTAGTGAGAATGGTGAAGATGGCGCCGCGCGTCCTTTCGGGGAAGGGCTCGTCAAGGGAAGCCTCTTGCGAGAAGCGGGAGGCGAAGCTGGAGCCCAATACCGCCGAGAGCTCTGGGGCAAATCCCCTTGCGAGAAGGGGGGGGCGAATCTGGAACCAAATTTAGTCTCGAGCGAGGCACTTAGCTACAATGCTGGAATCAACTCGCGCGAGAAGGGGGCAGCAGGCAGTGGCAGCGTGCTGCCACCGCATGCGAGAAGGATGCAGCCCCATGTCGCCCAGGAGAGGCCTGGGGGATGGTGCTGTCTCATTCGAGCGTAGTCGCCTCGCCTTCGGCCGATTCGACTATTCGTTGCGAGCGAATCCTCAGCGAATCCTCCTCCTCCTCCTCCTCCTCCTCCTCCTCCTCCCTCCTCCTCTCCTCTCCTCCTCCTCCTCCTCCTGCTCCTTCTCCTCCTCCCTCCTCCTCCTCCTCCTCCTCCTCCTCCTCTCCTCCTCCTCCTCCTCCTCCTCCTCCTCCTCCTCCTCCTCCTCCTCCCTCCTCCTCCTCCTCCTCCTCCTCCTCCTCCCTCCTCCCCTCCTCCTCCTCCTCCTCCTCCTCCTCCTCCTCCTCCTTCCCTCCTCCTCCTCCTCCTCCTCCTCCTCCTCCTCCTCCTCCTCCTCCTCCTCATGTTCCTCCTCCTCCTCCTCCTCCTCCCTCCTCCTCCTCCTCCTCCTCCTCCTCCTCCTCCTCCTCCTCCTCGTCCTCCTCCTCCTCCTCCTCCTCTCTCCTCCTCTTCCTCCTCCTCCTCCTCCTCCTCCTCCTCCTCCCCCTTCTCCTCCGCTGCCTCCGCCTCGGAGGTGTGCCTGCTCTCCTCGGCTTGTGATGTTCCAGCCTGCCTTCGCCTGGGTCACCAGGAAAAGTTTTGAGCGCAATACAATAGTACCGAAACTCGAGGGTTTCCACGCGTCGGGCCCTGGGAGACACTGTTCCTGCACTGTTTCGACACTGTTTCGGGTGCTCGACATTGTTTCTGGGATGTGGTCCTTAAGTACGATGGGATGTGCATGTTCTCCTCGGCGAGGATTGGAAGCTGGGCGAGTGCTGGCAAATCCGTGGCTGCTAAAACGGTCTTTCCGGAAGAATCAGGTTCAGCGCACGAAGGCAGAAGCGGGCTGTTTCCCGGAAGAAGAATAACAAGATCCCAGAGCTCTGTTTTTAGCAGCCACGGGTTTGCCAGCCTTCGCCGGGCTTCTGATCGGAGAGGAGGCTTGGCATCGCTCGGACGTGTGCATGCTCTTCTCGGCGAGGACAATCGAGGATCCAGGCCTCCTAGATGGGTCGGAATCGATGGGGTCGGAGGATCGCGCAGCATCGCAGATGCATCGGCGATGCGGCTCGGTGAGGGGTCTGGTTTCCTCCACGCCGACGTCGCCGATGCATCGCCAACGTCGCAGATGCATCGCTGATGCATCGCCGATGCATCGGCGATGCATTGGCGATGCGGCGCGATCATCCGACCCCATCTACTCGGACCCCATCTGGGATAGATGGCATCTAAAGGAACACTCTGGACCATCGAGCAAGGGGGAAACCTAAAAGTGCACGGGGAACGGACTGGGTCTCCTAGCAGATGAGCAAGAGGTCATGATAATGATACGTTCCAAGATTTCCAAGGTTCCAGGATTTCCAGGATTCCCGAATGTTCCACACGGGCTCCAAAAACGAGGGCCGATCGATGTTCCCGAAGTCCTGAAACGCATCCTGGGCCAATCCCATCATGACATCGTCCTCATCCAATCCCAGATGTGGTCGGAATAAATGGGGTCAGGGGATTGCGCTGACGTCGCCGATGTATCGCTAGTGCATCGGCGATGCATCAACGATGCCGCGCGATCCACCGACCCCGCCTACTCCGACCCCATCTGGGAGGCCTCTACGATTTGAGACGGCCAGGGGTCTGATGTGACCCAGCACAGATTCCAGCCAGCAGGAAGGGGCGAGCTTCGAGGGGCTGGGTTCGGCAAAGTGTTTTGTCTTCTGTTGGCCTTTGAGGGCCGTTTTCGAGCCCCAGGACCGTTGAAACCGGATCCGGGGTGAAAGATTGCTCCAGACAGACCTTGGGAGGGGTCTGGGGATGCGTCGCCTACGTCGCGGATGCATCGAGCCGCAACATCGATGCCTCGCCGATGCGGCGCGATCCTTAGACCCTGTCTACTCGGACCCCATTTGGTCGGATGAGTTGCCTTTACACATGTCCCTACGTATCCCTGTGATTGGTATGTATCTCCTTCTTTCGGTGCGGATATCTGAATGATCCCCTCCGTTTCTGAAGGCACATCCCTGCGACTCAGCGCCCTGGGCGTGTCGATCTCAGGGGTACAGTGGAGACCCATGCCGAGAAACACCTTGCTTGCCTCCAGGGTGCCCTGGGTTTCTTGTGTTTCGATGGTTCTGTTGTGGCGTGGCGTCACGATGCATGAGATCGTCGGAGATGCGCCCAGAGATTCGATGTCGTGTATTTTTTCGCTACGGGGTCCGCGAAAGTCCCGACCCCTTCCGCGGCTTTTCGACCCGAGTCGTTTTTTGACGGCCCTGCTTAGCGAGGGCCCCCCAGAAGCTCGAAACGGCCAGAAGCCTCCTGTCCGGACGTTTTTTTCAGGACGCCTTGCCCCTCGCAGCGCGCTGGGCCCGAGCAACCGGCGTGGGAATCCCTGGCGTTGCGGCGCCGTGTCTTTCGATGCGTACGTGTTTTTTCCTCATGTCTTGGCCGGCGCGCCGTCCAGTCGCGGCGTCTGCTGTGCCTGGGCACGCCCGGGCGGAGCCGCCGCGCGGCACGACCCCACCGCACGCCCAGCGAGGGACGGAGCGCCCGCGCGGTCCGCAGGTCACGCCGGCGTGTCTGTGCTCGGCTGCGCCATCGCGATGGTGGCCGTGGGGGGCTGCGCGCAGGCCAGCCGCCGCCTCGGAGGAGGAGCAGGTGCCCATCACTACCGCTGCCCTTCCCTCGTTTTCGCCTTCTTGGGCCTCCTGGGTCAAGCAGTGGCGAAGCGTCCCAGCGTGCCTGTAGGCCGACCGAACAGTGGTCTAAGGATTTCTTTGTGGTTTCCACGAAATGTTCTTAGAACATTTCTGGCTGGGATCTCTTTGTTTTCACACATTGGGCTTATGTTCTGAGAACACTGCTGTTGTGCTTGGACCCTTCTGGGGTTCTAAGAACATTTCGCGGCAGGCCTGCAGAGATGCCGGGACGGTCGGTCCTTGCTCAATCGGGAGGCCCTCGTTGCCAGCGCTGCATTCGCCTCGAAATCCTGGGCAGCACGCAGCCCGGGAGAGGTCCGGGGAGTGGCGGCATCAGTACCCTGTGGTTGCCCCACGCCACCACCCTCCAGACCATTCCACCAACCCAACCCAACCCGAAGGCGCCAAGCTGCCGTCCATTCCCAGTGGGGGGGGGGGGCCGTCCCATGAAATGAAACAACGCAGGTGGAACCCATGTGCCCCCCAACCCCACATTTGTAACTTCGGGTCGTGCTCAGGTGGCCGGGTCCGAAATTCGGGGGCGGCCAGGAGGGGGGTGATGACCCTCGGATGTTTACGGGGCTTTCCGTTTGTTTTCGGTTTTTCCGAACTTTGCAGGGGGTGGTTTCCGTCAGCTGCGCCTCGCCGAGGGGGGTGCCAGAATCGTCCCGAACGGCCGCCGGAGAGCCAAGTTCTGGCCCGAAGACATTTGCGGTGATTGCACCGCGTGGTGAGTCAGTGGGGGTTCGGGGTCACCACGCGGTTGTGTGATTCGGGCCGTTCTCCGAGGACGTCTCGGGCGACCAGGACCTCCAGTGTCCCAAAGCCATTCGGTGCCGGACCGCGCGGTGAAATCGCTGAGAATCCCGTGATCACCACGCGGTCCGTCGCCACACGGTTTGGGGCTTCCTGGGTCCTCCCAGGGTCATTTTCGGTCCGATGCCGAGGGCGGCCAAGATGGGCTGATGACCAGGGGGTGGGATATCAAGGCTGGGGCCAATGTCTACCTAGAATTCATGAACCCCCTGTAGCACGTCCCCAGATCCCCCCCGTCGTCCGCGCGCATGCCTCAGGCTGTGACCGATGTGCGAACCCCCCTCTCGG